CCCCATGGACTTCACACAGGGTTTTCCTAGGCAAGGGATCCTCAGAGGTGCTTTTACCAGTTTCTTCCTCTGAAATGGAGCCTCCAGCACCTTTTATATCCCATGGCGGTCTCCCATCCAAGCACTAGCAAGGGCTGACCCTGCTTAGCTTCCAAGATCAGACAAGAATCTGTGACATTTTAAGGGTATTTAGGCTATGATTATTATCAAGGAATCTCTGAGGAGGCTTTGCCAGTTGCTTCCGCTGAAATAGAGCCTCCAGCACCAAGTATTCATTGGCGGTCTCTCTCTCTTCTAAAGACTAACCAGGCTGACCCTGCTTAGCTTCTAAGATCAGATGAGATCTGGTGCCTTTAGGGTAGGCCGTTATTATCCTCATCTTCAAGGAATCACAGAGGAGGTTTTAAACAGTTCATTCCTCTGAAACAGATGCTCTAGCACCGGGGATTCCTTGGCGCTCTCCCATCCAAGGGCTAACCAGGGCTGATTCTGCTTAGCTTCCAAGATCAGATAGGATGTGATGGTGCCTTTTGGGTATTTAGTCCTGGGGAGGGAGGCAGGCAAGCCAGTGTGGCATAGTTTTAGAAGAGCTAGTGGGGCAGTGTTTAAATGTCGGTACTGCAGCTGCTCACTCACAGTCGCAAGGTTGTGAGTTCGATCCCAGGCAGAGAGGGCTCCAGGGTCGACTCAGCCTGGCATCCTTCCGTAGGTCACTCACGTGAGTCCCCGGGTGGTTGGGGGCAAAGAGCTTACACATGGGAGAGCCCTTAGAGAGTGCTAGTTCACTGCTAGGTGGTATAGACATGGACTTGCTATTGCTGCATTGCTATTAACAGGGAAATGGACAGCGTTGGAGGGTGGTGGGCTTCCCTCCTGTGGAGGCCTTTGAAACAAGGTTCAATGGTCATCCTTTGTGAGGGCTTGGGACTGGATGGCCCTCGAGGGTCCCTTCCAACTCTAGGATCCTATGTATTCCTGCATGGCAGAAGAAGGGGGTTGGACTGGATGGCCCTTGGGGGTCCCTTCCAACTCTAGGATTCTATGTGTTCCTTTATGACAGCAGAAGGGGGTTGGACTGGATGGCCCTTGGGGGTCCCTTCCAACTCTAGGATCCTATGTATTCCTCCATGGCAGAAGAAGAGGGTTGGGCTGGATGGTCCTTGGGGGTCTCTTCCAACTCTAGGATCCTATGTCTTCCTTCATGGCAGAAGAAGAGGGTTGGAAGTCTAAATGCCCTCCCGTCCTTTGCAGGTTCGCCAAGCTCCTGCTCCGCCTGCCGGCGCTGCGTTCGATCGGCCTGAAGTGCCTGGAGCACCTCTTCTTCTTCAAGCTGATCGGGGACACCCCCATTGACACCTTCCTGATGGAGATGCTGGAGGCCCCCCACCAGATGTCCTGACCGGACCCCAAAGAAGGAAACACTCCAGGGAGGAGGAGGAAAGGGCAAGGGGGGGAGCCCTTTATGGACAGCGGCGGGATGACACTCTGCGCCAGACCCTCGCGCCCCCAGGACCCCCCTGGCCCTCATCCCCTTCATGCATCCCTCCTTCCACCAGGCCTGGGTTTTCAGGGCCCTCTTTGGAGCAGGGATATTGGGGGGGGG